GGAAGGGAAAGGTAGGTTGACTGTACTAATCTGGTCGACAGAATCTGGCTGAATGAGCTTCATAGTTAAAAATACGGCGCCAGTGAAAGTGAACGAAATAAAAAGAGAAAAATTAGATAGGTAGACGCGATATGTTACCAGAATTGTAAGGAAATATTCGTAACGAACCCATCAATTTTAGCGGGGTCACCAATTACAGCGCGCCGATCAATCGGTATTTAGCAGATTCGCGGCTAAGCGACCAACTGAGTGCCTTCTTGAACCTGCGGCATCTTTGGCGACAGAAGGGAGTTTCCCTCCGTCTGAAAGGCCGTGTATACAAGGCCACCTTGAGGGCCGTTCTGCTCTATGCTAGTGAAACTTGGCCCCTTTCGGTCTGAAGATCTGAGGCGCCTTCAAGTCTTTGATCATCGTTGTTTGCGAAGCATTGCTGGTGTCGGATGGTACCAGCGTATCCCCAACGACGATGTGCGTAGGCGAGTACTAGGTGGTGATAATCATGCTAGCTCCCTAGAACAACAGATAGCACTGAATAAGTTGCGTTGGCTCCGGTACGTGCTACGTATGCCTGGTCACCGCTTACCTAGGAGGGCCTTGTTCAGTCTACCAGGTGTAGGATGGCGCAAAGCTCGAGGTGGACAAAAGTTGACTTGGCAGCGGGCAATGAAGTCACTGACGACCAATTATTTATTTATTCACAGTCTGTTAACAGACATTGTGCCATCAGAACCATGGCAGAAAAAAAAGGTGAAGAAGATGGGGACACTAATGCGATTAAAAAATATGGGAAACGAAATTTTTTGGTTTTACACACGCCATTTTGTATTTTTTGTTTTGTTTTGTGAGTTTTTGTGTGTATCAAAGGGATGGTGAAATTGCGGAACAACATTGCCGCCACTGATGTCTGTTGCGGGCCATGGCATCCAATGTTTCCAACCACTGCAATTCAGCATCTCGTGGTCCCCAACCTGGAAGGCGGACTGGTCCGACTGCTGCCAAACTTGAGGTCGCCTTCTTCATACTCCTTCTCCACGTCATCGGCTGTCCACCGCGGAACTTTTTCCAATCGCTCCCTGGGAGTGCAAATAGCGCTCGACGTGGAAGGTGATGGGCTGGCATGCGCAGAACATGCCCGAGCCAGCGCATGTGATGTCGGAGAATAACGTCTTGAAGACTGGCACTATTCGCCCCAAGCACGCGGTCTCTCACCTCTGCGTTGCTTACGTGGTGTTGCCACCACACCCTAGCAATGCTTCGTAGACAGCGATTATCAAAGACTGATAGCCGCTTCATATCTTCCGAGCGAATAGGCCAAGTCTCACAGCCGTACAAGAGTGCTGCACGGACGGAAGCATTGTACACCCTGCCCTTGAGCTTGAGACTGACATCACGACGACGCCATAGATGTCTCAGTTTGATGAATACAAGGCGGGCCTTTGCAATCCGTTGTGAGACTTCATCTCCAACACCGCCACCAGCCGTGATGCAACTCCCTAGGTAAGTGAAGCAAGGGACTTGCTCCAGAACATGTCCAGCAATGGTGAGCGCGGGTTCAGGCACCTGCCAATCCTGGAGCAGCGTTTTACATTTTCCCGGAGTGAAGCATAGGCCGTACTTAGACGCCTCCATCGCCAAGCGGTCCAGAGCGTTCTGGACGGATTGTGGGTCGTCCCCCAGCAAGGCGATATCATCGGCGTAGTCCAAGTCCGTGAGTCTGTCTCCAGGGAGAAGCTCAACACCGCAGTCCTGGACACCTTCCAGTGCTCTTTGGAGAACATCTTCGATGGCGAAATTGAAGAGGAAAGGTGAAATAGGGCAACCTTGGCGAACACCGCTGGTCACAGCGAATGAAGAGGAGTGCGTGCCATAAGCCCTAACTTTGCCCGACGTGTGACTGTAAAGTACTTTCAAGATGGTTACAAACTTGTCGGGCACACCTTTCTTCAGTAAACAGTTCCACAACGCAGATCTATCTACTGAATCAAATGCCGCTCGGATGTCCAAAAACACTACGATTGTTGGCCGCTGGTGGATGTGACGAAGTTCGAGAACTTGCCGAAGCGTGAAGATTTGGTCGATGCAGCCACGGCCTGGACGAAATCCAGCTTGTTCTTCTCGGGAAAACTCCTCTCTAGTCGCTGAAAGCCTGCCAAGTAGGACCGACACGAAGACTTTGGATGCGACAGAGATTAGGGAGATTCCGCGGTAGTTGCAGCAATCGGCGCGGGAACCCTTCTTGTGAATCGGGACAATGACCGATTTTCCCCATGAGCTCGGAACCTTCTCCTCAGTCCAAACTTTTGTGAACAGCGATAGGATTTCGCTGATAAGTACACTCCCACCATCTTTGAATAGAGCTGGTGGTAGGTTGTCGGGACCCGAAGCTTTGTGGCGTTTCAAAGATTGGACTACATTTCGAATCTCTGCTTCATTTGGGGGGGCTGTGGAGACAGGCCAAGCATCATACATTGGGGCTGGAGGTGTCGCATGGGACTGTGTTGGGTGGTTGAATTGAAGAGCGAAATGCTCTGACCAGCGACCCAATCGTCTGCGAAGTTTGGTGATCTTCGTGCCGTCTGCCTCGCAAATCGTCTGGCTGATAGCGTGGAAATTGCAACCAGTGGCCCTGATGATGTAAAACAGACGGCGGAAGTTGCCAGCTGATGCAGCGGCTTCCATCTCACCAGCTTGTTTTGACCACCAAGATTCACGATCAGAGCGAAGGCTTGCTTTCAACTGTTGCGTAATAGACCGGCGGTGTTCGTTGTACTCTACGCCAGCAGGCACCGCCCGTCGACGATCCAGCAATTCTGATGATCTTCCCGAGATCCAGCATTTGGGAGTGGAGCGAGTGAGGCCACAGCTGGACAAACCGGCCGACAACAAGGCTTGCTGGAGACTTGACCAGTGTTGATCAACATCCAGAGTGTGAGAGAGAGGGAGCTTTTCGTGAAGCTTTTGTTGATAATCTCTCTTCACCATTGGGTCCTCCAACTTGTAGGCGTTCAGTCGGGTGTGTTTTGACCTAGGCGAACCACCAAAACGCATGCAAACGGTCGCACACACCAGTGCATGATCGGTGTCGACGCATGTTGACCAAAATGATCGGCAGTCGCGTACACTGCCGCGCCACCTGCGACTTATAGCTATGTGGTCAATCTGTGACCAGCGCTGGGTTGATGATGGGGGGCGCCAAGTGGCATACTGGCGTCCAGGATGACGAAAGCTGGTGCTGGAGAGGAATAGTTGATGATCAGCACAAAGACTGAGCAGTCTCTCTCCATTGTCTGAGCGAACATCATCATATCCATGCAGTCCTCCGAGGTGGCGCCTTCCGGGTTGGAGTCCACGCGACTCACCTTGTGCCTGGCTCCAGACTTTGCAGGACATGGCTCGCAACCGACACCAGTGGCGCGTCTGCTGCCGTCTTCTAATCGGATTGCCTGTTTAAAGTGTGTTTGGTGCTGAGTTATCTGCGGGGTAATGGCTGATTATGACGCGGGGCAGTGAAAGCCTCAAGGAAGCTGTCTCGCCGATGCCGCCTTATCTTTGCACGACAGCCAGCTGTTTGTGACGGTATGTTATCTAAACAAGGTGTAGGCGCCTTGACCTAGAATGTTTGCTTAGGGCATTAAGGCTTTCAGGTAAGTTCCCCTTCTCTCCGTCTTCTGATTCTTTATTTCATAGGTCCTCGTGGTTGCATGGCAGCGAAGCATCAGTTCAAATGGCTGATGTACTGCTGTTGATGATGATGCACGAGAGAACACGTGAAAGTAAGCTAGAAAAAATTTATTGGACGGTAGTTTAAATGGCTAAAGCTAAAAATAATGCATTGGAGGAGAGCTAGCTAGGGAAGATATGGACGGGTGACGAGTGCGAGGACGAGCGCCAAGCAGCAGGTCACGTCCGATTGGCCGCAAAAGCGGAGACTCGCGATGCGTGCGTGCCTTAAACGGGAGCAAAATTTGAACAAGCAGACCGCCGAATTCCCTAATACCTAAGAATATAATTTCGGAATATTTTAGAAGAATTTAGTCATACGGGGGAATCTCCAGGTCAACACAACACCGCTGCTTCACGAGAAGCTGCAGTTATCGACCAATCCAAGGGGGCCGCTGGCGCAGGGATGATTGCTATAGTTTGGGACAACCTGTTCAAAGAGCAGATTCAAGTTGGAACGCAGAAAATTCCAAGCACCATCAACTTCTAGAACTTATGGGGTTGTTCAGTCCGGGGTGCAAGCCACTGTTCCTTGGCGGGAAGGATCGGTGCGCCAAAGCTCCGACGGTAGACTCTACGGTTGTCAGCGACTAAGTGCTACATCCAAGTGAAGAAGAGCGTAGTGATCACTATGGCTAATTGGTGGGGGAGAGATTAGATCGAGCATGTCACGGTGTGGGTGTTTGCATGAGATCAAGGATGTGCAGTGGGTCTCGGTAATATCCTGGCAGGCGGAGAGACGTGCTGCATTAGGTTAGCTTCGGGAATTGCAATAAGAGCAGCCTGAAGGGATTCAGGAAAGAGCCCGCAATTGGGTAGATCCCGGTCGCCACACTGTGTATTAAAATTCCCCAAAATCCAGCAGTTCCTACCTCTACCATACGTTTTGATTGCGTCCAGGACTCAAGCACCATTATTCGACCGCGGCTTGTACACCAACCCGATAGTGAGAGGTCAGCATCCGTCATACACCTGACACCATTCCTGAACGCCATCACTAATGCCTCGATAGCATTAGACATTAAGTCTGCTTTCCAGTAATGAACAACGCCCCAGTCTTCGTTCCACGGCAATAAACCTGAGAATACTGATATCCTGAGATATGGATTTCGCCATTATGTGCTGGGTTAGCCAGGATTCAGTGAAAATGAAAAGGTCTGGGCGAAGCTTCGATGTATAAAGCAATGTTCAAATGGAAGCTACAGCATGACGAAACAATCGCTAAAATACTAAAAAGGTGAACATCCAATTTTGTGTTTAACCAGACAGCCGAGACAAACCTTGGATTCATACGGGCACAGGTCGACACCCGGGCAATACCGGACCGTTTGGCTATCCAACAAGTTGTGTATGCTTACTGCGAATAGCGCTAAATTATTAAACGACATGAGCATGTAAAAGAAGGACAAATGCAATGCCCCAACTAAGCTTTAACCTTTACTATTGGCTTTTGTCACTTTTCTTGTGATCCAAAAGGACTTGGAAGTGCTAAATTACCTATACGGTTCTCTGCCGTGTATAGTAGTGCATGCAAACCACGTTCATCCTACCCATCCTACCCAAATACTTTCGCTCAAGTATTTTCTACTGCTGCTAAAGACTGACTGTTACATTGGATCTGGCGTTTTTTGCTTTGTGGCATCAAGATACAGCAGTTTGCTGTAGCACTTTTCCTGACCGACTAGACTTTGAATCGCGTGGCTCGTATTCCAGTCACAACCAAATCCTTCCTGACGTCACGCTACGGTCCGCCTTTCCAACATCTAGCCCCTTCTACAGCAAGTGAACCAGGCATTTCGACTCTTCGACTTTTGGGCTGCTATCTTTGCTGCTGCATACTTGAACCTACCAGTCCCAAAGGGCCTTCTTGTCTTCCGTGAGTTTGTTCTTTGCTGTTTTCTCCTGCATCTGCTTACTCGTTTCGCTTTTTGCTTATTCTTGGTTCCACCTTCCAACTTAACTATGGCTCTTGATACTAACGATAATGTGGCGAGCTCAGTTGTGGCACTTGCAGTCACGGAAGGCATACAGTGTGACCGATGTTGATTATGGTATCATAGCCACCTGCTCTAGGTTAGACCATTCAGTCCATTTGATCTGTACACCCAGCATCCCCCAACTGAAGTGGATCTGTTTTTCACTGTGTGTGCCTAGCTGTACTTGTGCTCGCTTATTACGCGAGTCGGCTTGCTGCTCCTCCACAGTTGCCTGATGTTCAGAGGGTAGCTGACGCGAAGTATCTGCAGCGGCTCTCCATCGCAGAAAAAGTGATCTAGCGACCAGGCTTTGCTCATAGATGCACTGCGAGTGAAGATTGACGAATTGCGCGATTCTTTAAATAGCTACGCTCGTAGTGCGGAGATTGCCATGGGCAGGCAAAGAAATCTTCTTATCTACAATCGGGAAGGGAGCCGGTGATACTACGAGGCCATAGACTCGATCGAGACCTGGACAGGAGACGAATACACGAACTTCCTCCGCATAGCCGAGGGATACCTTTAAAGTCGGTATCAAAGGGTGCATCGTGTAGTAGCTGGAGAGAGAGCCTGGTCCACTGCGTCAGCAAGGAATTGCTAGGCTAGATCTGGTTGAATTTAGGAACCCAGTTTATCGTGAGCAAATGCTTAACCGAGCCGGCGTAATCGAGAGTCAGACTAATGGCCGGTATCAGGTGGCCCCGGACACACTTAGCTCACAAGCCAAGGTCCCGCTGGTATGTAAATCGGAAGATACTAATAACCGCTTGGCTGGCGTGTCTGCGACCTTGGTTAAGGGTGCTCGTTTACGTGATCCCCGCATTGCATCAGTGCCTACCAGAGATGATTGTCCCACTGCAGCGGAGGTCGTTCCTTCGAACTACCACACCACAAATTCAGTATCAGATGAAGGTACCGCGAAAGGTGCTTCCTCACAAGTTAGTTCACCCGGAGGTAGTTACAGCCGATTGATTGTATACCCTGCATCTCCGGCCGCTGGGGTCAGAGTCAGTCAGCAACAAGCCACGATTACACCAAAGGGAACTGGGTGGGACTGCACTGCTACCACAGCGGCAGTTGTCTGCTCGAGTCCTCAAACAATGCAGGTTGCAAGGGGAATAAGTCGCGAGTTACATGTGACAACGACCAAAGTTTCACTGAACGGAAGTACGACTTCCAGCTTGTTACCCGGGGAAAGTTGCGGGGTTGCGGACATGAGCTTACAGGTGGCGCATCCAGGATTATTTGATGCCACTCGTATAATGTCAGCTGCTCCGGAACTCAAGGACACTACGTGCATCTCGCTGATCGGTTTGGGAAACCAGCGCTGTGATTCTCCCAAGGCTGACCTTGCAGGAAATTCGGAAGGCAGCGTTGCTAGACCTTCTAAGTTAAAGAGAAAGAAGCAAGTTGGTCGTTTACGAAACAACTCAAGTCGGACAGAACCTGACAAGGTTTCTGCTCGTGTTGACCTACAAGAGCCTAATCTTGACCCAGCATTGCAGGCGGCGAACGATAATGACGCGGCGTCAAAAAACGGGTTGTCCCCTCGGGTGCTGCGCCCGAGGGGAAACAACCGCGTCAAGCAGGACTAATTGTATGGTATACCAATTGCTGAAGTGTGAGGAACAAATGGGAAGAGATGGTGAGGCGCTGCGGATGTGCTGATGTTGTTGCCTTGACAGAGACATGGCTTTCTCCGAGCGACATGGTTAGCGACCTGCTGGTAGATTTCGTGAGTTACCTAGTAGATAGGCCTGATCACCACACTGGCGGGGGAGCACTATTGCTTATAAAGCGCCAGTATAGTCATTGGGAGGCTCCGTTTATGATGAGTAATACGAACGTTCAGGTGGTGTCTTGTTACTTAAGGATGATGGGCAGGTTGGAGATCTTTATATGTGTCTACCGCAGTCCATCGTCCACACGAGAGGAGGACAAAGAGCTCGGTGCACTATTGAGGCGCGCAGTGGTTGCTGCGCCTAAATTTCTTAATAGTTGGTGATCTAAACCATTCCTCATGCGGATTGGCAAGGCACCGCAAACAGAGCGGATACCTTGGAACAGGAACTGGTTGACTGGGTGCATGAGAATGCACTTGAATAATACATCAATATACAGACCAGGAGCCGAATGGGGAGTGCCCCCTCCACGTTGGATGTTGCCATCACCAAACACGGTCGTTTCGCAGAGCTACGAGTGGAAGCACCTTTAGGTAGGAGTGATCACTGCGTCCTCACTTTCTGCCTAAATACATTGAAGCCTGCACGACATCCTCGCCTCGTGAGAAATTTCAGCCGCATTGACCACATGAAATTGAGGGATAGAGCCCTCCAGATCAATTGGATCCCTGACCAGGAACAGGCATCTTTGGAACAAAGGTGGTCTGTGCTTAAAACTGGTTTAGTACAACTATTGAATGAGTTTGCTCCTCTTCGTCCTGCGAGACACTTCAGCAAGCCTCGGTGGTGGAGGAGGAGAATTGATAGAGCTCTAAAGAGACGAAATGAGAAGTGGAAAAAATTCAATGAGGTCAGGGGCTTTCGACGATGTCTACAGTACACAAAAAGCCGGAATACGGCTATCAAGATGTAACGGCAGGCTAAATACTCTTATGAGCTTCGGCTGGCCCGGTATGCGAAAACAAATCCAAAGTGTTACTACGGCTATGTTCAGTCTAAAGCCTCCCTAAGAGAGGACGTTGGGTGTCTAATTATGGAAGATGGCAGCCAGGCTGTGGAAGTCAGAGATAAAGCTGAAATGCTGCTAAGAGTCTTTCAGAATCTGCATAGGAGCGACAATGGATGTGCTACACCATCGCAGCCACACTGTGTCAGCAGTTATATAATGCAGGACATCGTGCTGACTGCGCAAGAGGTCTTTACTGTGATGACTAATTTGAATCCCTTCAAATCAGCCGGTCCTGACGATCTACATCCGGCAATAGTCAAGCCACTAGCTGACATCCTTCAACATCCTGTTCTGGAGCTGTTCAACTTGTCGCTCCAGGAATGCAAGTTGCCATGAGACTGTAAGAAAGCAGTCATAGTTGCGAGGGTGAGAACTGCAAAATTTATTATCTAAAAATTAACAAGTGGTTAAATATGAAGCTGATTGTGTACTTATCCATAGAAAGCCAAGTCCGCGTAATTAAAGATGTGCGAGACAACATGCTTAGATTCAGATTCAGATGAGAATGGAACGATAGGATAATCCCTTGAGTGTTCCTTCTTGAGCGGATCTTTGAGCCAGGAAATACGAATGTCCCACGAGGTTCTGATGGATATAAAACGATACGCCCGAACCGCACCCTGGTCAACCAATTACTGCCCACGTTCCCTACACTAGCAGTCCTCACTGTGTAGGTCATGTGAAGTAAGGAAGACGTAGAAAGAAAATGGAAGATCGAGAGGAAGGTAAGTCATTTAAATGAAGGATACCACCAAGGAGTGAGGAGAATGACAGGATATGAACTCAAAAATGAAAGATGGAAATGGTCAGGAGAAGGAAAAGCTTTCATGTTGCCGCTCAGGAGCGTCTATCTGTCGCTCGAGACCCTTAACTGTATTTTCACTGACTACTTTCTGGAAGCGAGTTCCAGCACTCCATTACTCTACGCGATAACCGAGTTTTCATCCTTAGTGGTCTCAGATGTATGTGCTGTCCAAGTGCCCTATATGGAATAATTATCTAGACAGCAGAGTAAAGTCAGTGATACGAGTGTATTGGGAACGAAATTTATAGTGAAAATGAGATGACGCATGGTTATAAGCTGTGAGATATGTAAACGTCGTTTAGGTCAACCCAGAACGAGGGGCAAGAAGGATTTTAGATTGCAGCGAAGCTTTCCTGCAGAGATCCAAGCGTAGAACAATTTTGAACTTTTAAGATTTTAATGTTACCTTTGTGCAGGAACCATCGCAATCTTCTCTGTATTGTACCAACTCCAGTCTACTTACGTCCAGTGTGAATACAAAAGCCGGCGCCCTCAGGCTCCGAACCCAGACCTACTGGCTGGCAATCCAGCACGGTTTCGCTACACTATGCTAGGAATTGTCATAACCTTTATAATTTAACCGTAAAATCGCCCATATGTCGTTTATAGCATCCTCCTGTTCTGGAGCTGTCCAACTTGTCGCTCCAGGAATGCAAGTTAGCACGAGACTGGAAGGAAGCAGCCATAGTTGCGATTCACAAGGGTGGCTCCAAATTGGAGCCCCTTAACTACAGACCCATCAGTCTAACCTGTGTTCTGCTCAAGTGTTTAGAGAAGCTTATAAGAAACCGGATTTGTGAACATTTGGCGGAACACAGTCTACTTAGAGCAGAGCAGCATGGTTTCATAAAAAAGAAGTCGTGCCTCACTATCTACTGTG